CTTCTCAGGGTTCGAGTTCCATCTCAGGAAAGTTTCGAGAGGAGCAATGCTTTCCGGGCTAGCTCCACCGTGGCAAAACTGGATGTTCTTACGGACGCCTCGGCCCAGGGTGCTATCTCATCGGAATGTTTGAGACTGCGCATGTTCCTGAAGAACATTAGGCAACCAATTAATGCTGCACGTCAAGAAAACGAGTCCCTTTGCTGTGGCTTCCCAATACAAAATCGGAGTGTGGGTATTGGCCAAGCCTCCGTTGTCAACCGCCCGCAGCAGGCCCCGTTTAAAGCCTTGAATTCATGACTGATGCTTTGTTTCCCGTTTCCCCCCGTCGAAGCCCCAGAAACGTTGAGTCTCGATTTTTTTGACATAGCCGCTCGAGTGCTTCTCAAAGAGGCCACCAACACACATATATATATATATATATACCTAGCACCCCGTATGGCTGTTTTTTTCCGGTCAAACTCCCGTATCTGGCCGTATGTGCCCGTATGGCCATGATTTTTCGGTCATTTGCGTAAATCACCCGTATGAAACCCATATGTTTTCGACATGTTGTTGAACAAATCCGTATGTTTTTTTGTTTCCCCCCCCCCCCCAACAGCTGAAAGCTTTGGGGTCTCAGCCCAGATAGGCTCCGGGGTGGTCCGGGGGCGGCCCCGAGGTAAGGTTCCACGAGGGTTCCACCAGGGTTCCACCAGATTTCCACAAGGTTCTGCGAGGGCTGCGGGCACGAGGGTTCCACCAGGGTTCCCCACCAGGTTCTGCGAGGGCTGCGGGGTGGTCCGGGGTGATTTGAGGTAAGGTTCAACGAGGGTTCCACCAGGTTTCCACCAGGTTCTGCAAGGGCTGGGGTTGCCCGGAATGGTTTGAGGTAAGGTTCCACGAGGGTTCCAGTTCCACGAGGGTTCCAGTTCCACGAGGGTTCCAGTTCCACGAGGGTTGCACCAGGGTTGCATCAGGTTTCCACCCCAGGTTCTGTGAGGGCTGCGGGGTGGGTAAGGTTCCGCCCAGCTTCCACCAGGGTTTTATAAGGGTTACCGTTGTTTTGAGGTAAACTTCCACGAGGGTTCACCAGGGTTCCAGGCAGGGTTTTACCAGGTCTGTTTTACAAGGGTTCCACCAGCGTTTCACCAGGTTCTGCAAGCTGCGGGGTGGTGCGGTTTGTGGTCTGGTTCCACGACAGTTCCACCAGGGTTCCACCAGGTTCTGCGAGGGCTGCTGGGTGGTCCGTGGTTGAGGTAAGGTTCCACGACGTTCCACCAGCACCAGGGTTCCACCCCACCAGCTTCTGCAAGGGCTGCGGGGTGGTCCGGGATGGTTTGAGGGGTTCCAAGAGGGTTCCATTAATGTTCACTTGCATGTATCCGGGTTCCACAGTACCACGGACGTTCCAAAGGGCCGGGTAAGGTTCCATGAGCCTTCCACCAAGTTCCTCCAATTTCTGAAAGGTAGTTTCACCAGGGTGTTAAAAGGTTCGACGAGGTTCTGCGAGGGATGCGGGATGGTCCGGGGCAGCCCTGAGGTTTCACAGGGTTGCACAGACGTCCGCAAGGATTCTACAAGGGTTCCAGAAATGTTCTGCAAGGTTCCGTGGTTTGCCCTGGAGAGAAGTCGTGCGCCCGCCGTCTGAACAGCCATCGGAGCAGTAAATTGAGGGCTCCTGGGCGGAACACTAAGCAAAACCGAAATCAATGGTTCTCAGCACACTTTCACTGTTTTGTCACTTGCTCACTTGCTCAGGCAACGCGGCCCGAAATGTTGACTTTGTGGCAAATCAGATCACGTTGCTGCAGGACTCACTGTGCAGCAGAGTAAATGCTTGGCATTGCTGAGTATTACTTGGTGGGCTTTAGGTTCCAAGAATTCCACGAGGCTGCAAGGGCTATGGGGAAAGGCTCCAAGGGCTCCACGAGGATGATTTGCGAGGTTCACCGGGCCCATATCGATTGCACCGTCGGGGCCCGATTGCACCGTCGGGGCCCGATCGGCCCCGCTTGCGCCATCGCGCCCTGATCGCACCCCCCAACTCAGTCGGGCTCGTCAACTGTACCAAGCTGGCTTTTGCTAGATACAGTTGTAAGGCCGCATCCTAAACCCGCGTTGAGCTATGAATGGGCGGCTGGGGTTGCACCACGGGACCATCGGGCCCCGGGCCCCGATTGCACCGTCGGGCCCCGATCGCGCCCCCATCACGGCCCCGATCGGATTGGGATTGCAACGTCGGGCCCCCTCGCTCGGGCCCCAATTGCCGTCGGGCCGCGATTGGGCTGTGATTGTGCCGTCAGGCCCCCCGACGATTGCGCCGGGCCCTATATCGAGCCCACTCGGATCCCACTATTGCGCCGGCAGGCCCCCCGATTGCACTCGGGCCCCGATCGGGCCCCTTGAGCCCCCGTTGCACCGTCGGGCCCGCTCGGGCATCCGATTGCAAGGTCGGGCCGCGATCGGGCCCCGATTGCTCATTATGATTGCACCGTCGGGCCGCGATTGGGCTGCGATTGTGCCGTCAGGCCCCGATTGCGCCGTCGGGCCCCGATCGGGCCCCAATTGCGCCGTCGGGCCCCGATCAGCCTTGCTTTATAAAGTTACAAGGCGGCATCCTCAGCAACATCGGCGGTGAGGGCGTTCCGCGAGGATTCTGGGAGGGTGTGGTGCTGTTGGGGATATCGCCTGGGCCTTTTTTTCGGTCAAAATTTATGACCTAAAAAAACAGCCATATGGGGTCCCAGGTATATATTATACTCATTGTTTGTTTAGTTTCACTTGGGCTCATCCCTAAATGGGGAGAACCAGCCGCAGTGTGGCGGCGTCCTTTTGGCGAAATAGCTCCAACAAGTGTACCCTCAAAAACAGACATGATCACTGTCGAAGCAGCTCCTGTTGGGTTTGCTTTCTTTTGAGGCTACCCCCTTTTCTTGGTGGTTTTAAAGGGAACCCAAAAGGACAACCACTTGTTTTTTGTGTTTTTTGTTTGTTCCCCGACAGCTGAAAGCTTTGGGGTCTCAGCCCAAATACGCTCCGGGGTGGTCCGGGGCAGCCCTGAGGTAAGGTTCCACGAGGGATATCACCTGAGCTTATTTGGGGTGGGAGAACACCATAGAACACCCTTTTGAAACAAAGCAGTCGCCTTGTGCACAAAGCAGTCGCCTTTGAGGCCTTCTGGATCGGGGCTGTTGCGAAGGCGATCGCGACGCTGATTACTTTTCCTTTGCAGGCCGTTCACAGAAATGGGGGAGACTAAATGGGTGGGGGGGGGTTGTTTGAGGGCCTTCATTGCACCAAAGTAGGGAAGCCAAAAGGTTGGGTCCAAATCTACCAGGTTGCTTCTTAGACATGAGTGAAATTGGGGTCTCGGAAAACAGGGGGGCGCTACCAATGGTTGGTTTCCTGTACTGGTGCACATCACTGATGTATTGGTTTCCTTTTGGTTTCCTTTGAAGTGCCAGGTCATAATAAGGGTCCCCAAGGGGAGCTTGTCTCATGAAGAAACCCTGGACATCGGGGGGGGAATGGTGACTTTGACAATGGTAGCACAATGGGGCTAGAAACACATAGCTTCCCTTGCTATTCCCGGAGCTGCTCAGTTCCACTCCGGAGCTTGTTTTGCGGCATTTTCCTCGGTTTCCTTTCAAACCCGCCAAAAAAAACACGTGATTCCTTCAAAATAGCCCCAAAGAAAGCCATAGAGAAAACCATCCCTTCAAACCCAATTGAATTGAAAGCAACTCAAACCATTGCCCATGGTTTCCCGTCAAAGCAATCCCCAAAACAAGGCAGGACCTGTTCGTTCTTCCAATCCCAAACCTGTCTCTTGATATCCGGTTGATTTATCTTTTGGTTGGCCCAAACAGATTTCTGGGCACCAGCTCCGCAGGTGGCCCAAAGTCGACTGCGTGCGTGTGAAGGCAGCATGGGCATGGCTCGGAAACTCAGGTGGATTGGGGGGGTAGGAACCATATCACCTGTGGGAGGGAATTACAAGGCCCCAAGTACTTGGAATGCGGACGTGTACGGTAAAGCCAAAGCAAGGCGTGATCATGGGAGAACAATATGTTGAATGGTTCAGCACGATCCATTTCCTCCAAAAAGGCACCCTCGCGTGTTCGCGGGATTGTAAACAGTAGGCACAAAAGGGACGACCACCTTCCACAACCATGCTGCGCTGTTGCGAGTTGCCCGTTTAGATCATTTGATGCGTCGCCGACCTGATTTTAATTTGCAAGTGGGAACCATCCTAATATGCTTGTTCCGCGGTTTGGGGGCCTAAAGCGAAGAAGTAGTTACGGCAACGACCCATGTTGGTTCAATTTTCGTGGAGAAGCGGGGGTTTATTGTGCCGTTTGGGCCAGAAGGGACTAGATAAGTTGGCGTTCATTGCTCAGTGGAAATCTTGGGCAGGGCAAAGATTCGGACGGCTGAGGTTGTCAACAAATCCCGATATCTCGGCTCGGGGCCAAATGATGGATTCCACAGACTTGGCTTAGACCCTGACTTCCTTGCAGCTTGTGGGAAGTGTTTGTTTTTGCTAGTACCTCGTGGCAGCTTGTGGGAAGTGTTTGTTTTCGCTAGTACCTCGTGGCTGGTGTCGGGGTTTCACAAACTTTGGGGGTTTGGGATTCGGGTGATGTGCTGTCTTCAAAGCCGGGCTCATGTGGTCCAGCAGCAAGGCTCGGTTGATCAACCGCACACCTGGGTGCTTCAACTAGGTAACAAAGGTGTAGCCTGCCATGAACGAACATAGAACCCACCAGAGCCCGCAGGGCAGAGTCACCGGAAAATCCCTTTGTGTTGACCCTGAGGTCCGTTATAGACCCCAAGTAACAGGTTGACTGGAGATGGTCCTAGCCCAAACCTGTGCCGGCAATTCCCTACCACGCTTGGTGTGTTGGCTGTGTTTCGCAGGGTGGTTTCTAGCAGACCTATCCCTATTTGTTTGCAAACTAGAAATCGGACCCTCAACCTGCTCGGTCTCCTTTTGGTTTACTTACTCACCTGGTGCTAAGCCGCTGGCTCGCAGCTAGTCGTGCTCTTTCTCACTACCCAAAAGTGTTCCGCTAGTGCCTCGCCATGGGCCGGAGCCTCTTGGCAGCCAGTCGGTTTGGACATACGACCAAAGCAGATGAGTTGGAACCAGGGTGGAGACAAATTGCCATGGTCAACAGACCTCTTTTGGGAAGGGAGTGTTATGGACCTCGGGATTTTGGAGAACCATGAGGATGGTGTGGATGTTGCACCTGCCCTTCGTTGCCATGGAGACGGGTCTGAGACCATGTTGCTGGGACTCGGTCCATGGCAACGTCGGCAGGGGGTAGTAGATCAGCGACTTGGCTGGTCTTTGTGAGCAAAAGGCCCTTAGACCTTTTGTTGGGGAAACAACTTGCTTTTCCATGAACCTACAAAAGGTCGATCACAACCTTTTGCTCAGGGGACGAGCAATGCGGGTGAGAAGTCTGAGCAAATTACCAATGATTCCTTTCTGCGGAGTCTCTTCTTCTTGGTGAATGATTTTAATTTACCCAGAACAAGCCTCAACCATCCCTGTTCTGCCACTATCGTGGGTAGCGGATGCCGGTTGCCATCCAGCATGCCTTTGGCTTACCTCAGAGAGTCCTTCAATGAAAAGCTCAGTTTGTTCAAAGCGATTGCATTTTGTTCCTATTCCTTTGCAAGTGACCCGTCTAGGTTGCTTGCCTTTGAGATTCCTTTTTAAGCCTTCCAAGGCCATTGCCTTTCTCAAATTTGTTGTTCGCATCCAAAGGGTCATTGAGCAGAGCCTAAAGCCTCAGTTTGAGTGGTTTCATGCGGGTTATAGCAAGGTCAACATAGACCTTTACAGCCATTTTGGTAGAACCTTGCGTCCAGCCAGACCCGCTTCAGGTCCAGGTGCGCTCTGGCTGGTTTGCCTAACGGCGGCCGTTTTGGCGCAGGACAGAGTGCCTTCGAGAAATGCCAATGCCCATGATCGAGAGTCAGTGCCAAACGAACAGTTTATAAAGGTCTAACAGTTTTAAACTTAGAACCGGGTTGTAGGGAAGCTTTGAAGCCAACTTCTGCTCAGAAGAGATGTGTGGACTTGCTTGAACTCTGATATTGCCCGTTTAGCTTTTTGCCTGCTTGGTTTCCTCGATTTCCCACCCAGGAACAAATTAACCTGTTGCAGGGGGTCTGCAGGCGCTACATGAGTCAGCTTCAATATTACCGTCGTTGATGCACATGTTGTTCGTGTTTCTTCTAAAATATTTAAATAAAACAACAATGTGGGACGTCCACAAAAAAGGATACCCCCAACTTCGGAATGAACAAACCCCAGACAAAAAATAGGACGGTTTACACGACTGAACAGAAATGCTCGGCACCACGCAAAGTTCGGAAAGGAACTCCTTTTGGATGGCATTGAATCATTGGAGGGTAGCCCAAAGCTATTTTTAAGGCCTTTAATTCTAGACACCCTCATTTCCACTTTTGGACGCAGAGCCAATATTTTCTTCGGGTTGGAAGTTTTTGCAGCCACAAAGAGTCTGTTGGGGGCACTCCAAAAGGGGCCTGATATTCGGGGGTTGATGCCCTATGATTTGGGTTCCGCTCAAACTTTGTGGTTTAGACAAGCCCAACCAGGCATTTTGCTTGGAGTTTCCCAGACTGTTCTGCATTTGAGGTTAGAGTAAATATGAAACAGAATCAGACAATCTTAGTTTTGGAGCCAAGTATTGTGTGACGAGTCTTGAGGCTGCAAACTTGCGAGTCCCTAGCCCGCAAGGTCTTCTGAAGAGATTACGGCCGCAGCCTTCGCAGCGCGTAGGTTGCCGGCATTAGTTCTTACAGGTCCGCACAGTTGTAACACGCTCGGTAGCTGCGGTCTTTTTCAAACAAGCTGGTGAATGTTGACGTGCAGTTGTGCGAGTGTTTCTTTGCCTCCTTGAAACTGGGACAGCCTTTTCCAACAGAAAGGGTGCAGTTTGCCCTGGTGGATTGCCGATTCTTCCCTTTGAATCATCCCGTCTAGGGGAGAAGGGCCTGTTAGAGCTCTTTCAAGGCTTCCACTAGTAGAGCAGGAAAGGAGGTTGACCTCCATGGCTCCCAGGATGGATTGCGCCAAGAACACAACCCTGGAAGGAGCAACCGCCTCTTCTTTTGCACAAATCATGGCGGGGTCGCCTGGAGGTACATCGAGCTCACCCATGATGAAGATTCCTTATGGATGCCTCAACTCAACTTTACAAATTATAAGAACAGTAGTTCGTGCAGGTTGCTGAACTGAGTGCAATCAGGTGAAGGCCCTGAAGGCTTGTTTGTTGTTGTTTTTTTGATCGTGCATTGGTTCACCCATTTCGTAAGTTTCTTTCATTGGGGGCCATCTTACACTCACTTCCCGAGTCGCTAGAGTTCACTTTTTGAGGGTGACCGTTTTAGAAGCTCAACTAACAGCCTCGTTATTTGTTGGTCCAATGCACACAAGTGAGTAAACATCTCGCCAGGATGATCTACTGTCACAAGACGACGAATGCGCCACGTTGGGCGCCGAGAAATGTGCTGCCAACGCCCTGCAGCTGAAAGGCGCCGTTTTTTCGCAGCGAAAGGGCGGGTGCTGGCTGCACTAGGGTTGGGCTGGGTCCAAATCAACAACTAGCCATGGACCCCCTGTCAAGGGAAAGCCATGCTTTGCCCGGTTCTCGTGATGCTGACCCCTGGTACATACCCTTGTTATATATAGTTGCAAAATCCGCCTGGTCTTCTTTCGGGATTCTGTTCCGCTGGAGGCTTGCCACGTGATTAATTCGCAAGGATAGTTTCTTTGGGGGTTGACATCCACTTTGTTATCATTCGGTGCAGGATCGGATGACTTGGGGTGTTAGTTGTTCAAAACTCCCGAACGTCAAGCTTCTGGGATGGGAGGAGTGTTTCTGAGCCGTG